TAGACGACACACACACACAACACACATAAAGGCACACACACACACACAACACACACACACACATAGACGACACACACACACAACACACATAAAGGCACACACACACACACAACACACACACACACATAGACGACACACACACACAACACACATAAAGGCACACACACACACACAACACACACACACACATAGACGACACACACACACAACACACATAAAGGCACACACACACACACAACACACACACACACATAGACGACACACACACACAACACACATAAAGGCACACACACACACACAACACACACACACAGCAGTTTGTTCCACTTTTAGTTTTTAAAATAATAATTTATCCGCTTGTCAATTTAAAATTCTTTTTGTTTAATTAATTTGAAAAAATCTTTAATAATATATTGAATATAACAATATTTGGAAATAATAAATAACGTACATGCAAAAATAACTCTTTTTTAGAGTTTCATATTTAAAATTTTTTATAAAAACACCTTAAATTATAATTTTCCATAAATATACGTAAAATAAAAATATACATAGACGCAGTTGTTGATTTGTAGTCGCATGTTGTCGTAGAGTCAGTACTTACGGAGTAGCGAATTCAAATACAACAAACTCAATGTGTTAAAAGTTGTACGAGTTCCAGCGTATTTTGTATTTTAAATATTCACGCCTCCAATAGATATTCCGATTAGATCTTCTATCTTCTCCGAGAACGTGTTTTACAATTTATCTGCGCGTCTGGTCCTCTGTTATACTTGCTAAAGTATTTAAAATGGATCACTTCGTAATAGAAACAAATTGTGTGGGCTCGATATCATTCATCGCGACATCGCGAATCCAACATTCTGCGGAAGCCAGTTGGCCGTGGATGTGACGAAGAAAGAAGAAATTTGGCTTTTTCTGGTATCAGCAGGCAAACTGGTGATCTAGCAAAAAAAGGTGGAGAAATCAAACAATCAATCAATCTCTCTGCTTGTCCTTAAAATTTTAATGATTTTCAACATTGCGAAGGGTATGGTAGATAGAGATTCCTCACCAGCTTTGTGTTTTGATGCGGATCCACGTACCAGAGGGCATCGCTATAGAATACGTTCAAAAGTTCCATACAAATACAAGAAAGTATTCGTTTTCTAACAGAGTGATCTCTATTTGAAACAATTTACCAACCTGCGTTGTTGAATCAGATACTGTTTCCAACTTCAAGAGGAATTTTGACCTATATATGGCCAACAAAAATTTTCTCTATGATCACAAAATTGACATTGTTGTTTGATTGCTTTTTGCTGTCTTTTAGTGTTATTTTGATATGAGCATATATAACTTACATTTAAGCCCATTATTTATTTATATTTATTTATATTTATATTTATTTATATTTATTTATATTTATTTATATTTATTTATATTTATTTATATTTATTTATATTTATTTATATTTATTTATATTTATTTATATTTATTTATATTTATTTATA